GGCTGTGGCAACTCTGAGGTGGCAGTCTGCTCCGCGTCGACTAAGACCGTGATTGTCTGCTTCTACCATCCACCAGGTAATGTCACTGGCCAGTTCATAGTCAACTGTCTACCGCCCCTGCGGCCCGACATCACCGACAGTGAGGAAGTGCGCGTCTCCGCTTCTGATGGTGCACGCACTAAGGCGTAGAATATTTGCTGAGCTTACCTTTTCCTGCCGCCTCAGCATCGCACTCCACCAATGTCTCCACTTAACGTAACCAAATACCAATCCAGATATGAGCTTTATATGCACAAACTTATATGAATATTCGCTTAATGCTGAGGATGAGATGTCTAGATACGTACGCAGCTCCACGATCGAGTTCCGCCATTTATTGCATTTCTGATTCAAAAGTTAAAGCAAGTAGTAAATGGCTGTGATTATCTGCTCTTCTTTTCTGTTAAACTGCCGTAGCAATCGTGTTCCTACAAATTTTTTTTCTTCTTTTTTCTTTATATCCTATGATTTTTATTTATTAATGCATGTGTTTTTCATTTTTTTAATACTTAAACGGGTTCTAATCGTCTTTGGCTGAGTCGGGCTTAATCGGATTCATCCATTTTTAGCCGCTTTTTTTTCTATGAAAAATTTGATTGAGATTTTTTTAGCACGTTTTTGATAGAGAAATGAGTCTTAATTTTTCAAAGCAAGAGTAGGCTTTCAGCCTGATTCTCACCTGTATCAACACTTATCTAGCAATCTCTATGACGGCCAGGATTCCATTCAATTCTTATTGGTTCATAAAGTACATTAACAATTCTCGATGTGAACCGGGCAGATTCTGTCGTAATTAAAGTATAAAGTTTCATCTGAGACCCATATATATCATCTTGGCTAATACAATATCTCGCCTTCATATTTCAAGTATCTGACGATAATGTGCGTATGTAGACAGTTGTTAATCAATCTAACTTTTATTTTAAAGCCCATAAGCATTGATTTCAGGCTTCCAGGAGAACGAGGATGCATCGTTGTAAGTATTTAACCACACGGGACTATCCCATTAACGGCAACTGGGCAATTCCACAGATACAAGAGACCATGTGAGATTCTTTTTAGAGGTCCACAAGTGGTTCTGTAAATTAACACAAATAGTCTGATTGCAAGTAGCCAGATGGTCCTGGTTAAGAGAATTTTAGCATGCAATGTACGTAATTTTCGCAATAACGCAAGATTTGGCGTAGAAAGATGCTTAATTTAGGCCAGATTCTGAAGAGGTGACTTGATGTTCAGAATTATAAACTTAATTTGATACTGGAGACCTGGATGATAGGTCTGTAGGTAAATGCTATTTCCTATACAAAAGAGCCGCTTTTATAAGCAGACAAACGCTGGCGGCGAAGCAATCAACGTGCCCCAAGCCTGCGCCAAAAGATCGGATTTCTTGGGACGTCAGATGTGTTGGTCACATTTTCCATTGCTCCGTCCTTTGACAAAAATCCTTGAACAGCCCTGCTCATCTATCATAAGTATCCGGTCATTTACACACTACAATTTTTGCCCTTTGCCAGCTTATCTAGCTCACATCGTGTGAACATATCATGTAAAGCGGAGTTTGAGATTGAAACCAAGAGGGATAGGAATAGGGTCTCTCCAAACTCGTCAGCCAGACACTACTCCCTAAAATAGTCCTAAATGTAAGGCCCACGAAGACAGTAACACAACCTGCGACCCTTTGACCACAAACGGTGAGAGGTGTGCAAGAAAGGCAGATCACATTCTGAACGTGCGTGCACTGGTGCCTTCTTCCTAAAAAGCAACTGCCCCGGAGCTCGAGTAAGCTCTTTTGATCCAACGGCCCATCCCCGCCATTGCCAACATTAGGATGCTGGCCTTACTATACGCCTCCCAGTGGTGAGATTGGCGCCTAATGGAACACGGGCGAGTCCTGGGCCCGAGTTAGGATAAGCGAGGCTGCGGTAGCATGGACGGCATTTAGCTGCCTGCCCCAAACAATCCGGTGGAGCTACAACAGTTCTCAGTATGCAGCCAGTTACACCAGCACCGATCACCTTGCAGGTTCCCACTTATTAGGACAGAAAACACCGGCCACAGATACCTCCGGAGCTTGCGTTTATGCTGATTAGTACGATCTAGCAATTTTTTACTTTATCAAACCACGTAAAGCTACTTCACAATTAAAATTTAATGCGAGCGGGGAGCGCACTGACCTACTTAGACATCATATTTGGACTAAAATTCGTAATGAGATGTATTGACCCTATTTGGTGTAAGGTGATGAAGGACTGGTAGC